AGGTCGCCCGCCGCTCTGACTGCGCGGAAAAGCCGAGGAAGGCGCGGGTTCGCCTGGCGAGGGCGCGGGCGCAGGCGCCCGAGACGATCGCGCATCGCTGCGGGGCCGGGTCAAGCAGTGGAGAGGGGCCGGCCTCGTCGGAGCGCGGCGGCGCCGACGTGGAAGAAGAAGAAGAATAATGACTTCGAAGAAGGGGGAGAAACTGCCCTGGTGCGGTGCGCGGCATCAGTCCGCCGTGGGTCGGCTTCCCGCGCGGCCGCGGCAGGTGGGCAGGGGGGCTGGGGGGCGAGCTGCTCCGCCGCGGGCCGCGGCGCGGAAGGCGAGCGGGGCGCCGGGGGCAAGGGGCCCGGGGGTGGGGGCAAGCGGAGTGGCCCAGTCAGTGAGAGACCCAAGAAGACGCACAGGGGCGGCGCCGCCGCGCCCGCAGCGGGCCAGTTCGCCTTGGGGGGCATTCCCTCGGAGCTGCTGGGGCACAATGTGCACCGCTTGTTCTTCCGAGAGGGCCGCTGGGGCTATCGGTGCCCTCGTTTCCATGCCGACGACGCCCCGACGGACGGGTGTTGAAGTGGCCCGGGGTGGGCGGCGCCGCCAGTGGCGGCTGTCCGGCAGCGCGAGAGTCGGGGCGGCGCCCCCCGATCAGACGCGAGGGGAACGCTCGACGTCGCCCGTGCTGCTTTCTATTAACGCCATCCCCCAGCGGAGGGCGTTTTCGGGGCTGAGTCCCGCGGGGTATCTTTTTCCTCCAGCGGGGGGCAGCGCGGGGCGAAGATCCCGCGGGCGGCTGCGTCCCAGCCTGCGTCGCCCTCCCTCTGAGGGCGTTCGGGGCGGAGATCCCGTGTGGAGCCCGTCCGCGGTTCGCTGCCGCCTTTTTTTTTTTTTTTTTTTTTTTTTTTTTTTTTTTTTTTTTTTTTTTTTTTTTTTTTCTTCCTGTGCGCCTTTAAGGAAGGGCCCGTCGGGGCGACAATCCCGCCGTGATCCCATCTGCGGATCGCATCTGCCCCCGGTGGAGGTCTGCGCCTTCTTGCGCGCGCCCGCCCGCCGCGTGGGCGGGCGAAGGGCAGGCAGGGAAAGGAGGGGAAATCAGTGGGGTAGCAGCGTTGAAGATCCTGCTGCCGCATCCACCCACCTCCCTCCCCGGTGCCGTTTTCTGCTACAAACGCTCCCGACGCTAGGACGGACGGAGGGCCTGGCCTCTTTTGATTTGCCCGCAGCAGGGCACGACCGCTTGTGGTGAAGAGCGCATTGCGTCGACAAGTGCGAAGTTGTGTAGCGCTGTGGCGAGAGCCACATGTTGGGAATGATTCGCCGTACAAGTTCAGGGAGTTTCGGGTTCCAGGACATTAAGCAGTGATGGGGAATCTCAGGCGAAGCGCCTGGTCTGCCCTGCCGAAACGTCAGGTGTTGCAACGGGGAGTACATTTCAAGGGCGGATGTATACATTGATGGTGATGCTGCTGATGCTGATGCTTCTGATGGTGACGGTGATGGCGATGATGGCGATGGTATGTCAGGTTGCTGTTGTTGCTGTTGCTGCTGTCGTTGTCCTCGTTTGTTACGGCTGTTGTTATGGTTATTGTGGCTGTTGTTTATGTGTTTGATGTTGTTGTTGTGGTTGCTGCAGTTGTTGATGTTGTTGTAGTTGTTGTCATTGTTTTTTGTTGTTGTTGCTACGTGTGGTGACGGTTATTGTGGTGATGGTGGTGATCGCAATTCCGATGGTGGTGATGACGATGATAATAATGATGATGATGAGGGTGATGCTGATGATGACGACGATACTGATGATGTTGATGATGATGTGGGTGACGATGATGATGCAAATTATGATGATGATGATGATGATGATGATGATGATGATGATGATGATGATGATGATGATGATGATGATGATGATGATGGTGAGAATGCTGGTTTTGGCAATGAGGACGACGACAACGACACTTACGATGACGATGCTGGTGATGAGTATGCTGCTGCTGATAATGATGACGACGACGCCGCCGACGATGAGTATATTGATGATGCTGTTGATTCTTGCGATGGTTATGGCTGTGGTGGGGATGGTGATGAGGTCGATGCTGGTGACGATGGTGACGGTGATGTTGGGATGACGACTGTGATTATGATTATGATCGTGAGTATTATGATGACGTTGATGATGGCGATGATGATTCTTGTTGTGGTGGTGATGATCATGATATTCGTGTTAATGTTGATGTTGTTGTCGTTGTTGTCGTTGTGGTTGTGGTTGTTGTTGTTATTGTTGTTGTTGTCGATATAGTGGGTGTTATCGTTGCTGTGTTGTTGGTGTTGTTGATGCTGGTGTTGATATTGGTGTTGCTGTTGATGATGGTGCTGACGATATCATGATGATGGTGATGGTGATGGTGGTGGTGATGGTGATGGTGATCTGGATGTTATTGTTATTGCTGTTGTTGTTACTGTTATTGCTGTGGTTGTTGTTATCATTTATTGTTGTTGTTATTGTTGTTGTTTTTGTTGCTGTTGTTGCTGTTGTTGCTGTTGCTGTTGCTGCTGCTGTTGTTGCTGCTGTTGTTGTTGTTGTTGTTGTTGTTGTTGTTGTTGTTGTTTTTGGTGGTGGTGGTGGTAGATGTGCTGATAATGGATGTTACACGCTGGCCGTTTAAAGTTGATGCTAGCACATTCCCAGATCTCAATATACTTCCAGCGCCTTCCTACTTCAATAATCGATTCGATATTGCTGTGTGTTGTCATTCTCTGGGAAGCCTGAACCCAATCTACTTGATCCGCCTCCCTACTTCATGTTTTTGCCTACTTCTTCCGACCGACGTGTAATGATGATGACGATGGTGTCTGTGGCGATGATTGTGGTTCTGATGATGGTGGTGTTGAGGAGGAGGGGGAGGAAGAAGAGGAGGAGGAGGAGGAGGAGGAAGAGGAGGAGGAGGAGGAGGGGGAGGAGGAGGATGCGGACAGCGGGGGCGCCCGGGATTAGACCGTGCTCGATGTTGAGGGATTGGGAGGAGGAGGGAAGGGGGAGGGGGGAGGGAGGATCTCGTCGCATTTTCGTTGTTGTTGACTACTTTTGCGTATGTGGGTGGTGGTGGCTTGGCCGCGCCTGCGGAGGACGGCACGCCGAGGACGCCCCCGTCGCCGACGAGGCGCTGGGGCAAGGCCCGCGCGGCCAGCCGGCAGCTTCCCCCGCCTCCCCCCCTGACGTCGCCGCCGCCGCCCTCCACTGTGCCTCACTGGCCTCCACCGTCCTCCACCCTCTCTGCACCTCCCCCTCCCCCTACCCCGTTCCCTCCGCCCTCCGCCGACGGACCAGCTGGCAGCGCCCCCTCCCCTTCCTGTCGTCGTCGTCGTCGTCGTCGTCGTCGTCGTTGCCGCCAACCTCTCCGTCGCCGCCGTTCACGATTCCGCTGCCGTCTTGGTGGTGGTGTTGGTCGTCGTCATGGAGGGCGATTCCTTCTGAAAACGCGAATGTGGCCTCGACGCCGCGCACATCCGGAAGGGTGGCGATCTTCGAAATGGGGCTCTCGCCTCAGCGCCGCGCACGCAAATAGGGCTCTCGCCTTAGCGCCGCGCGCATTCGTTTTACTAAGTTGCAGCAGTTTCAATATTGGAGCACAGGTCGTTTTCAACATGGTGTTCTCGCCTCAGCGCCGTGTACATTCCCTGTACAAGCTTGCAACAAGTAGAGGGATGGAGGACAGCTCTTTTCAAACTGAGGCTCTCGCTTGAGTCTTTGGTGAGAGCAGAGACCAGAAGCATCAACGCAGGTAGCACTGCACGAGTCGAGGACGGTTCCTTTTAGAATGTTGCCCTCGTTTAAAACTCCGTCGAAGTTCATGACCACAAAGCTCAGCGTGTGCATCACTTACACGGATGGGGGTTTTTGTTTTTGTTCGAAAGGGGGGTGTTCGCTGTATTATTTGTTGAGATGTGTAATCGTACCCATTCGCGTTTCTGATTTTGCGCCCGAAGTTGCAAGGCAGTTCCAAGGCAGTTCCTTTTCAATGCGTGGCCTTCTCCACAATGGCAGGCCGGTGCCGTGCTGGTCTCCTGACGGGGGCGCCTCTTGTAGTTGGAAAGACAGGCTCGTAGGGAACTCGTGAGGGGGGGACCTCGGACGGGATGGTGTACTGCAGCATCGCTGATGCATCCTGGGTTTGCTCTGGCCCTCCTCCCTCCCCCCCCTCCCCTCCCTCGCCTCTCGCCCCCCTGCCCGCCGCCCGCGCAGGCCAGCCGCTCACCTCCGCCCCGACCCGCCGACGTGGGCCCGGAGGGCGCGGCGGCCGCGCCCGCGGCCAAGGCGAAGCACCGCCGCCCGCGCGGCGAGGGCGAGGGGCGGGCCCCCGAGCCGCGCTCCAGCCAGAGCAGCAGGGGCAGCGGCGGCGCCAGCCAGGGCTCGGCCGCCGGCCACGGCGGCAGGCGGCGCCACGGCAGGCCCTCCCAGGACGGGGAGTCGCAGGGCAGCGCCGCGGCGGCGGCGGCGCCGGCCTTCCCGCCCGCCGCCTACCTGCAGACCCTCTTCTCCGACGCGCAGCCAGCCGGCGCCGAGAAGCCCCCGCGCCGCTCGCGCAAGACGGCGGGCGCCGCCGCGGAGGCGCCGGACGGGAAGAAGAAGCACCGCCGCACGGCGCGCGGCGGCGCCGCGGAGGAGGCGGAGGCGAGCGCGCGGGCGGAGGACGCCGCGCCGCGCGCGGCCGCGGCGGCGCGGGCGCTGCCGCTGGCGCCGCCGGCGGACCGGGCCACGGCGGCCGCTGTGGCGGCGGTCCCGCCGCCGGCTACGCCGCCGCCGCAGGTCTCGGCGGCGAGCAGAACAGGGTGGCACGGGGGGGTGGTGTCAGTCGCAACGTTACAGGGTCGTCGCAGGGTCTTGATGGGTTGCCGCGCTGGCGGTGGCTTGCGCGAGCCACCGCGTGAGGCCCGCCACGCCCACCCGCGCCCGCGCCATACCCCTGGCAGCGTGGGCCCTTAGAGGTCTGGCCCCTTTTCCAGGGGGCTCAGGCAAC